GCACAGAGTGTTTCAGTGCAGTTTGCTTGGCTTTGTATTAGGTAGATCTTTATGACTTGGACATATGGAGTGACCTCCTGATATTGTCCAGTGTTTGTCTTTGATGTATAAATCCTGTCTGATATAGACTGATTATCTCTGGCAAAATCTTTTCTAATCTACGTGCAAATATGGAAGTAAATAATTTATAGTCAACATTAAGGACACTTATGGGTCAATATTTTCCACATTCTTGTTTGTCTTTATTTTCTTTTGGGATAACTGAAATAATGGCTTCACACCAAGAAGGGGGTATTTCACCAGTTTGTAAAACCCAATTAAATGTTTGCAATAGCAGTGGCGTCAGGTAAATTTTTAGGCATTTATATCACTCTCCTGTGTACCCATCAGAGCCTCGAGATTTACCTGATTTCAGCTTTACTATGGCTAAATTTAATTCTTTAATTGTGATAGCCTTCACTAACATTTCATTTTGTGAATCTTACATTTTAGGTAGCTCAGGACCATTCAAGAACATATCAATACACTTCTCATTAGCTGTTGATGGTTGGGTATATAAAGCTTCATAAAATTTCCCAAAACATTCTTTAATCTTCTCCCTTGAGTCTTCAACTTCACCAGTAATAGGATTTTTAATCTTATAAATTGTATTCTCCATTTGTTGTTTTCATAGTTTATAGGCAAAGATTTTTGCTGATCTTCCACCCACCTCAGAATGTTTCTGTATCTTTTTTTTTTGCACTTCTAGATTATAAATCTATTTGTTTTTGCACCATCTTTATTTCAGATCTCATTTTCACGGTAGTATTTTGGCTGTCCCTATTTTGTATCTGTTTTAATTTTGCCTGCAGATTTTCCAGAATTTGACTCCTACTTTTTTTCATAAATACTGTTAGGGAGATAAGTTTCTCTCTCAAGACCAAACAATTGTGGGCTTCATTTTCCCATTGTTATTAATTCCCAAATATTTGTTAATATCCTTGTTAATTTCCTCTAGTGTTGTTGAGTCATTAAGAATATATGAATTGAGATTCCACAAGGTTCTCTTTGTGTCTTTTTTCAAATCTGCTACCAGGATTATTGGGCTATGGTCTGATAAGTCAATTGTTAATATTTGAGAATCCATTATCTTAATTCTCTCAGAAGCAAAGACAAAGAAATAATCTCCTCAAATAAACTGAGTGTGGGCTAGAAAAATGGGTATAATCTCTGGCTGTTGGGTGCATGTCTCTCCATACATCTATAACACCCAACTCCTCCATTAAAGACCTAACCTTTTTAGATAGCAGTTTACTCTGGCTGATGACTCTAGATGTGGGTCTAGCCTGATATTGAAATCCCCACCACATAACGAATCCTTGGGACATAGCCATCGAATCAAAAATGCTTTTACAGAAGAACCAATCACTCCCTGGTGGAGCATAAACATTTATCAAAGTCACCTCAGTGGCCTCTAATCTACCAGTAATCTCAATAAATCTACCTACGTCATCTACCATTTCAGACCTAGGTTTATAAACCAGCCCACTGGATATTAATGTGGCAGCTCCTCTTTTATATGTGTGGCAAGGTAGCTGATCATGTAGTCTCTGCCATGTGACACAGGTGTCACATGGCAGAGACTACAAAGGTCAGAGGGGAACCAGGTGACTTCCTCTTCCTGAGCAGGCCTAACACACGGCTATTTCTGGTGAGCCAAACAAATGTAATGTTTGTACATTTTAATCTTGTTAGAAAACAAATTTGTAATTTTTGTAAACATTATTTTAAGGGTTTTAACAGTCCAGATGAGAGAGGTATGCTTTTAACTTTTATCTTATTGTTTAATTTTAATTGATGTATTTAATTAACTGCACTGTGTTACAGGCTCAGTGCTGGCTGCCGTTTTAGAGTTTTAGTTTTTGATTGTTAATTCATTACAGCTCTGCAGTGGGTGTGGGCTGGAGGTAGCTGGGTGTGGAGGGGGCTCACATAGAGGGTGACCTTATTTATAGTTATTGGTGATGGTGGCACTTGTATATGGGTGTTTTCAGTTGTGGTAACGGTTTTCTTTGTATTAATCTTGTTTGTTTTCTCACTTTATAGCATGTCTCCTTCACCCCAGCTTTAGGGTGAAGCCGCACCCCTGCAGTAGTATCCTCACCTGTTAAAAGCACCTTTTAATATTTTTTGTAAATAAAAGCTGCCGTATGGCTGTTAGACCCATACACTGACTGGCTTGCTTTGTTATTAAAGCTACCTGTAAACTTCAGGTGTTACATATGCAAGTCTATATGATGAGGCAAACACAAATTTAAAACCTTGCTCTATCTTAGATACATATGTGTTTCATGGAGGAAAGGTTTTTGGGCCATTTCTTTCTCTTTAATACCCCATTGACATTAAAAGAAATGCATTTCAGTACACTGCTATGCATATTTCCCCAGTCCAGAAAAGTAATCAATTAAAACCACTATAAAGCTCCCCTTTTTAATGTAACAGTGAACACAAAACTACAACTAAACACTGTAGTTAGAAGAATTAAACTAACATTCATGCCCACTTCCAAAAATGAGGTCCAGACCCTAATGGAGGGATATCCTCTTTGGCCTGCTTGGCATCAAGGGCCTTTCACTATTGTCCGTGACATTAATTAGTTCACATTTGGCATCCAAGTCCTTAAGCTCTTGTCAAAATATATCCACTCCGTACATGTCCATTTTGCTTCATCAGATGCTACTCGTGGATGCATCCCACCTAAACGCCTGTAGGTTTTCTTTAAATCCCTGTTTGTGTCGTCCTGGTGCTGACGTCTAAGTATACCGCTGAAGTTTCACCAGAGGGGAGACCAGGTGCTCTCGTTACCAGCAACTTCTTATCCGCCAGATCTGACGCAGCTCCACTGAATCATATATCTTTGTTTCATCATTCAGGAAGACCTTAAATCCTTTTGGGGACAGTGTTTAGAATTTTGTGCTGCTTGCCTTTAGGATCCTTCTTATTTCTCCATATTCCTTTCTTGCCCAAACATCAGGCATGTAATTGTGATCCAAGTTGACTTTTCCATCCTTCCATGTGAAACCCTTCCTTTGCCAGCTCTGAGCACCTCGTCTTTGATCCGATAATTCTGGAATCTGATGACTATAGATCTGGGCTGCCCACCAGGGCCTCGGTGTCAATACTCGATGCACTCTCTCAATTGTCAGATCCTTAGTAATTGGGAGATCCAGATTTTCACACAACAACTGCTCCACAAACTGCTGACTGATGAAGCCGTAGTCCCCTCAGCTCCCTCCGGAACACTGTATATTCTGTATATCCCTATGGGAGCCAACCTTCAAGTCAGATAGTTTTAATTGTAGCACTGGTTGTTTCATTAATTCAGTGATGATCCTCCGCCCCCTGCACACAATCATCAATAGTAGCAAACATTCTTTCCACTTCATCCAATCTCAGGTTAGTCTGTGTAATTTCTTGCTTTAGGTCCCCAAATTGCTTTTTATTCTCCCCTCACATCTCCCTGATCTCCTTCAGGATCAGTGACAGCTTGTCCTCGCTTCCAGCCTCAAAGCTGCCATCATCTTAACAGGACCCTGTTAGCCTCTTCATCTTCAGTGTTCTTCTCGAGTATCGGAACAGACTTCATTTGACTTTTCTTGGATGTCAATCCATTCCCCTTTCAAAAATATTACTAGTTTAATAAAGACTGCTACTTAAATTGACTTGTTTTTTAAATAAATTTGTCAGTGCAGATTTTTCACGCTGCCATCTCCAGTGGCGACCCGGAAGCACCTCTCCATGACCACATTCTACAGAGGAACCATTGAGAGCATCCTTTCCAGTTTCATCACTGGTGGGGTGGAAGCAGGCACTGACCACGACAGGAGAGCCCTGCAGCACATAGTGAACACAGCCAGGAAGATCACTAGTGCACCACTCCCCTCCCTTCAAGACATATGCACCAGCCGCCTGTCCCGCAAATCGATCACAATTGTGAGTGATACAAGTCACTCCACACACAATTTGTTCAGCCTCCTGCTTATGGGAGCAGGAGACTTCCCTTTGGTAATGTTCCCACACCACCAGACTCACTAACAGCTTCATCCACCAGGCTGTTAGGATGCTGAACTCTCTCCCCTCTCTGCCCACCAGGCTGTCAGGAAACAGGAATCTGCATGTCCACCAGAAAGGAATTCCCCAAAATAACCCATTTATTATTTATACGCATGGAAGTGAGAAACACAATTTTGATTCTTTACTTATGTTTTTCGTATTGAACATGAACTTTTTTTTAACTTTGAATATAACGTCATTTCTTTTACCGGATATGAAGATTGCAAACGGAAACACTGTTTTGTCTTTGCCCCTCTCTTCGCCAGAATTGCCTTTGTTTTTATATGTGAAGGAATGTCTGCTGGTAATTATGTGGTAAGACTTAGTTTTGTGCCATATGGGGCATATGGGGCTAGTTTTGCGCCATATGGGAAACTACATTTTTGTGACATTTAGCTTCAGTGTTCAAAAACAGGTGTGAAATTTAGTTACTTTTTTGCACATTCACAAAATGTAAATAGTTAAATATTAAATTACAATTATTAAATAAATATTACACCTAAGTGTTAAATGTAAATGTTAAATATAATTGTTAAATGTACATCTAAATTTAAATATTAAATCAAAATATAAATATTAAAGTATAAAAGTTAAATATAAATATTAAATTTAAATGTTATAGTGTTATAGTGTCAAAATGACGAGAAAAAAAAAAAATCAGGGAAATGGGCTCTTGGTCGTGGATTATTGTCATAATATAACAATCTAAAAGAACAAAAAACATTTGGAGTACCTTTAACTGAAGAGTCTAGTCTTGAGTTTTTAGCATGGGCACCATTTTGCTTTATGAACACTAATCTTATGACCTGCACTTAACTATAAGCAGATGTGGGGTGGTTCACTTTGAACAGAAAAATTTTCTCCAGCCCTAGTTTGGGTATCTTTCTTCATATAGAGAAGTAACATAATGACACTTTATAACACTTTTTTAATCACCAAAAGAAAAACAACTAAACAAACAACATATTTTATAAAGTCAATTAGTTATTTAATTCATTTTTCATTTATTCTAAAATTTCATAATTAGATAACACATAATACAAAATAGGTTTAGGGCGCACACAAACAGGGCCTGTAGAATAGAAATCTTATATGCACTTGTATGAAATGGCCATCAGATCAGTATAGTCCTCTTTAACTGGATACACTTATTTACAAAGCTGTGGCCCCTGAAACCTCCACCTCAATGCCTGTCTGTCATCCACACTGTGAAGGCAAGCACATATGAAAGAGCTTTGATACACAAGATTTTGACATTTTGACAAGTGTCAGAATGAATCATTTTGTAGGGTAATGAGTAGCAAAAACAATAATCGATCCATTCAATATAAAAACAACCAAACATCTAATCCATAAATATTTAAATTTTTTCACTTAAAAGCTCCTTTGGTCCCATTTAGTTTGATTAAAATGTCTACAGCGATACAGAAATAATTTTGCACAATAGTGATAAAACACCCAGAATGATCTACTTTTTCGCCAGGGAGAACTGGCTTAGGGATGGGTGCAATGCCAAAACCTAGCTTAGATCAGTTTTATTACGATTTAAAGTGCATATGACAGGTTAGACTCCTAATTTCACCAAATTAATTAATAAAATTTTAGTTAATTAATTTCCTTTGGGATAATAAAGTATTTATAATGTAATCCAAGTTAACATCGTTATCTATTTCAGTACAAATCTTCCCTAGTTCTGTTTTAAGTTTAAACATTTTGGTGCAAGTTTTGTCATTTTACTTCCTAGTTGGACATGAGCATCAGATGTGACCATAGACTGTATTAAGAGGTGGACTAAGGGAGTGTGACATCACCCATTTGGCACACCACTAACTTGGCTCCAGTCAAATGAAGGCCAGCAGTTATGGGGTGAATCTGAAGCCAAGTTCTGCATTAAGAATAGGAATTTATTGACAGACAAAATAGCAAAATAAAAACACCAGGATCATGTAGAGCGGGTCAATATGAACATTTCAAGATCAAAATGATAAGGCTCACAGCAGCAGATACAGGGATGACAATTATTCAATGTAAAGTGAAAAGGAGCTGGGTCTGGAGACACTAGCAGGTTAGCTGTGTCCCTTTCTATCTACAGTCTATGGATGTGACCTTTGCAGGGGAATTCTGCTACCCGTCTGTTACCTAGCAACCATAATGTAATGTAAACAAGGGACAAAACCAGTCTAAATTGCACAATAGTTATGAGTAGACTATTTAAAATAAATGATGACACCTTAAACAGAAAAATGTGCGTAAATTGTGCGCAAATTTGTGGTGGAGAGCCCGTCACTTGCGGTTTCATTGGAGATATTATTGCTTCAGCTGGTTCTACTCTAAAGAATACCATTACATCTAATCTTATATTTATTCAGTGAAAATGCATTCTTACTGTGAGAGGGGTTACCTCTCCATAGTTTTGACATAGCATTGGTCACATATATATATATATATATATATATATATATATAATATATAAATGGACATAGCAGTGTCACCCTGTTCCAAATAGGAAGTTCACATGCAGCTCTTCCAGCTCCTACTAACCCTTGCTCCAATTGACTTACAGAAAGAGGGGTGACCATATTCTAAAGTAACTGCTGCTCTGAGCCTGGTCTTTTTGGTCTTACAATATTCATATTAACCCGCTCTACATGATCGCTATTTTGTCCATCTAAAAATCCTATTCATAACATAGAGCCTGGCTCCAGATTCACTCCTGTAACCGTTAGCATCGCACGCTTCATTTGAGTGGCGCTGAATGCTATGGGTGACGTCACACTCGCTTAGTCCACTTCTTTATACAGTCTATTTAATCTATATTAAGCAAAACACAGATCTGAGCATCTAAGCATCAAAAACAGACCTGGAGTTACTTTTGTGACATTCACAAATATTTGAGTAATGCTTTATTAGTTTGTCTACACCTCCAAAACTCAAAATGCTCTCTTCCACCTTGTCCTGAAGCTGTAGTTTTCATGTTAAGAGCTACATTTTTTTTTAGTTTAGTAGACTGCCAATTTCAGGGCTGAGTGTTTTCAGATGGTTCTAGTGAAGGTGTATGGAGTTTAAAAACAGAGTGGAACACTTTCTGTATTACAACATGACATCTCAAAGTGGAAGGTGGAGTGTTTTCAGTTTCAGAGAAGAACTAAGCCCAAATATGCAATGTTTGTGTGTTAAGCATGTGTGCATGAAACAAAACACAACTCCAGGAATGTTTTTTGATGGGAAAACAACATAGATCAGTAAATAAAATGGGCCCCATAATGTCGTACTATGTAACATTCCTGGCAAAGCAATAACCAGAACCTCCACAAGAAAAGTTAGAGGGGGGAAAGGGTGTGTATGTGACAATATCATCAAAACCAGATTGTCACAGAATTCACAACTGTTATCACCATGGCTCAAGACCTGTCACAACACATTTTGAAGTGTGATATATTGCTGAGGTAAATATGGATGCTAAACAATAACCCTAAAATATGATAATCAAAAATATTGTATATGTACCATAGACCGTATAAAGAAGTGGACTAAGGCAGTGTGACATCACACATAGTGTTCAGCTACAGTCAAATGAATCTCACAAGGCTATCAGCTATAAGGCAAATTTGGAGCCAAGTTCATATTATGAATTTATTTACAGACAAAATAGCAAGATAAAAACATTAGGATCAAGTACACTGGGGCAATATGAAGATTTTTTGGAGCAAAACCAATAGCCTGACAGCAGCAGTTACAGAGGGACGACATTTTTTTTCAATACAAAGTGAATTGACTGAGCAGGAATATTATATTAATATAATATAATATAATATAATATAATATAATATATATAATATTTTGGAAGGTTAGTTGTGTTCATTTATACAGTCTATGATATGTACAGTAAATAAGATGAAATAAATTAACGGCAGATATGAAACGCTTCTCTAGCTTGTGGCCATACCGGCTTGTCAAAGCCTGATCTCGTCAGATCTCAAAAGCTATGCAAGGCCATGCCTAATTCTTGGATGGGAGACTGCTGGGAATTGTAGGTGCCACAGTGGGATGCTAGTGGCAAAAAATGTTGTGTCCTTAGGCAAGACACTTAACCCACATTGCCGAGTAAGAAAATGGTGTGTGTACGAATGATGGCGGTGTTCAGAGGGGCTGATGACTGTAAATGTGTTATAGAAGTTATTCCTCCAACCTTTTTCGCTCAAATATCATCCTAGTACAGAATAATAACATAAATTTCCCCAAATTTCCCCCCTAGTATCCACATGAAAAAGTACCCACAATAAATACTGACCCCCAAAAATTATTGTTCCAGCTATTATTAATTGTATGTTAAGTCAGTATAGTCATTATCGTGACAAGCCTATCGCCCAAACCCTATGTCAATGTAAATAGCATCTCCTGATGCACTATCTTTAAAGTCAACATTAAAGAAAACATGACACAATTTTCTTCATGGCTTTTGGAAGGATTGCACTATGATATAAAATGAGATCCCTGAATTGAAGCAATTGAGCATTTGAATACATGCATACTGGTCCAGTGAAGACTCGCAACATTTGGATAAATTAGTAATTAGGGATAGGACAAGATCATAGACTATATAAAAAAGCAGACTAAGGGTGTGTGATATCAACCAAAGCATTCAGCTCCAGTCAAATGAAACTCACAAGGCTAAGAGTTAAAGGAGTCAATTTGGAGCCAGTTCCGTACTAGGAATAAAAATTTATTTACGAAAAAAAAAACCATAGGATCATGTAGAGTGAGTTTATACGATCATTTTACGACCAAAATGACAAGGGTCACTGCAGCAGTTACAGAGAGAGGGATGATTTTTATTTTTTTTTTATCAATTTAAAGTCAATTGGAGACAAAGAAGCTAGAAGCGTACCCATGCTTACTTCCTATATAGAATCCAGTATATGAACAAGACCTCATGCCACAAGATGTGGGAAGATAAAACTGTGTGGTCAAGGGGGAAAAAAATCTCAAGATACATTTTCTCATGTGTTTACATTTGGATTGGCCAAAAAAGGGGTCAAATGGTAGCCAATTAAATTTCTTGAGAAGCTGTGTAGATCTAAAAAGCAGTGCTACAATCACAGAAAAAAATATTAAAATATATATAAGTTAGTAAAAGTACCACTAATGAGGCCAAAATTGTAAACTAAACCGCTCAGTTGATTTATTATAAACCTTGCCAAAACCTCATCTTGTCTCATTCTTATTGCCCCAACCATGTGTCTTGTCTTGTAGTTGTGGAAATCTTGTCCCACCTCTAATTAGTATAATTTTTTACACAATGTGATAAAAACAGCAAATATCAAGTACGTGTTGTAATTCCAGTTTCTTTTAACTACAGATATTTCCATACAAGTTTTGCATAAAAAAACAAACTAAAAAGATACAAACAGCAAGTATCATGAACACCGTCGATGCTTGGATGCCCTTGCTCCTTCTGTGGCTTTGCAGCACTGACTGATGACATCTGTGTTAACATCCCTCTCTGAGCCGGTGTGCATGCCCGCTGCACACAGCTCTTCTGGGGCACAGGGGGCAGGTCTGTGCTGCTAGCCCAACTGGATGTGTCCGGAGTACATGGTGAGGAGCAGCATGATGGAGAAGCCAGTGAGGAGACCAGCATTCTGAATGGCAAAAGTCAGAAGGAAGCTACTGCTGCCTGCTCGCTCCTCCTCCAGACTCACTTCGTTCATTTCTGGAAACTTCAAACAAGAAAAAAAAAAAATTCATATTCATTTAAATTATTGATAATATTATAAGTAATACAATGTTTGAATGAAAGACCAAGAAAGGTGGCTCCCACCCAGTGATTCCCAATCTTTTATGTTCTGAGTACGGATGCACCAATACTGGTATTGGATAGAAGTGCCAATAATACAAAAAAAATTTCTGGCTTAGATAGATATTGGCCTCCAAAATGTGTTCTGTAGTTACTTGAGAGATAAATAACAGCTACATAACACATTTAGACCAGTTTTGTCTGATAAATAAATGTCTCTAGACTGGTACTGGTTGATAGAATTGGAAGAGAGATAACTGAAAACAGTGGATTCCTAGTCCAGATTACCCCCTAATGCAGTGTTCAAATACAAAGTCAAATTGCACATCACACACCCTGCTAATAATAAAAAATTACTTAGGCTACGTTTTAGACAGGTGTGGTATGAGAGAGCCATAGACTTCATCTGTGCAAATTAATTTTCTTCGTTCATAAATTTTAAAAGAGAATATAATACAATATAAGAAAACCTCTGTAAATCAAAAGTGGATTTAAAAGCAAAACTCTATTATTTGCCCATGTCTTCCTCCTGGAAAACTGAGTTTTGTCCGGTTCAGCTCCGTACTTCCCAGAGCCACACAGGCAGAGAAGTGGGTACTGCACTGAAGACAAGTGAAGAAGTCTGGGAATGAGACTGTGTTGGATCGTGGATGCTCCCTAGTTTGTGGTCTTATCCCTTAAAGGTCTGTATTATTAACTGTCCGCCTGGGACTTTTAGTTCTCTTTATTCAGTAAATCTGTTAAATAATGTCCTATGTTAATGAAATTTTACATTGTATTGTATTGGTTGTTATAAAATTGCTTAAACCAGTATATAATAATGAGAAAAAAAGCAAACAAGAATAGAATTTCTGTTACATTTTATTTTATATAGACACAGACTGTATATATAAATGGACATAGCTAACGTGGTAGTCACCACGTTCCAAATAGGAAGTCCACATATGGCTCTTCTGGCTCCTACTGGCCTTGCCTCCTTTTGAGGAGAAAATTCAGTTTGTCGACTGGACAAAAGTTAGTTTGGTTGAAGACGTTTCGCAGCTCATCCAAGCTGCTTCTTCAGTTCTGGTCAGACGCTGGTGGGCACTTCCTTATATCTGCAGGGAGGAGCTAACTACACTGAAACTAACACACACTTGTTTACAGTGTCTGTTAGGGATGGGCATGATTAATCGATTAATCGATAATTGATCATTAAGAAATTCATCGATTACGTTAATTTTAATCGACAAACCGAATGTAGGTTGATGTGCGTAGCGTGACCAAACAGGGGTCCGTACATGTAGCTCTCTGCACTCAGAAGGAGCGAGCAAACACAAACAGTCGGTCAGTCTGCAACACAAATGTGTATTTAACGATGAGTTGTACAAGAAATTCCACGCTTTCCGTTGCGTTCGGGACAAGTGGGGGTCCATGTGCACAGTGTACAAAGCAGCACATATGTTTCGGTGTCCAGTGGGAAAAAGTTTTACCAGGTGAGAGTCGCGCGATGACGAGGACCCACCTCTCACCCCCCGTACGGTGTCCTGGTTTTGACAAACGTAAATATGGTCACACTAACCTGTATTCCACTGAATCATGTCTTTTAATCCAACAGAAGTTGACCGCATCAGCGCACAAGAGCTGTAGTTTTATCTTCGCTGAGTTTATGCAAATTAGCGATGCGGTTTTAAGTTTCGTTTCTGTGAGAGTTGCGCAAATCTGCATTAAACACATTGTAATCTCAAACGGATTGATGTGGCTCTAGAGTCGTTACGGTTGATATGTCGTAAAGTTGAATTTATTTATGCAGATTAGTTGTGCAGATAGTAATAATAATGATGATCATTTTAATATAAACACGTTAATGATTAATCGATAATCGATCGTTAATTCTTCCGACGATCGATTAAGAACATTTCATCAAATGCCCATCCCTAGTGTCTGTTAGTTCCATCTATTGACCTGTACAGGGTGTGGGGTCTAATTAGCAGAACAATTCATGGCCACAATGGAGCTTCCACATCTCTGGACCTGACCTGACTACTCCTGTTCTTCTCTTGTTTTTTTTTATGTAGGTTTGAGGATGGAGTGGTAAATAGGAGATAGATGGGTCTGAAGCCTCCATTTCCAAAAATGGCTTCTTTCACTCTCCTCTCAAACCAATTTTTCTCTCTGGCTAAAATCTGTACCTCACTGTCCTCAAATGAGTGGCCCGTGGTTTTTAAGTAGAGATGCACAGCAGACTGAGGTCCACTGCTGCTCTCTCATCTGTGTTGGTTCATCCTCTTGTGAAGTAGTTGTTTATTTTCTCCAATGTAGTCTTCACTGCACTGAATGGAGTAGCCCACATTGCCTTGTTTGTGGCTTGGTGTTTTGTCCTTTGGGTTGGACCAGTCTCTGTCTTAGAGCGTTCATAGGTTTGAAATAGACCAGGATCTCATGTTGTCTGAAAATCCTCTGTAGTTTTTCAGAAACACCAGCCATGTAAGGAATAGTTCCCCCCTTTCTCTTGGGTTCTGATTCTCTGTTGTCCAGTTTTTTAGTTCTCTTGGTTTTGTTGAAGGTCCATTTTGGATCTCCACAAACAGAGAGGGCTTCCTGCACATGTTGTTCTTCTTTCTCTTCTCCCTGCTTGTAGGCACCACTTGAGCCCTGTGTTGTAGTGTCCGAATAACTCCAAGTTTGTGTTGCAGTGGGTGGTGAGAATCAAAAAGCAGGCACTGGTCCATGTGTGTGGGCTTCCTGAAGACCTCAACCTGGAGTCGCCGGTCTTCTCCTGTCGTTACTGCACAATCTAAGAAAGCCAATGTGTTGTTCTTGGCATCTTCACGGGTGAATATGATGTTAGGATCTACAGCACAGGTGTCAAACATACGGCCCAGGGGCCAGATCCGGCCCTCCAAGACCTTTAATGTGGCCCTCTGTTGATTTTCTACTGAAATATTTTAATTATATTTTCTATTAAAACATTGTTAATTTTCTGTGGTGTTTATCACAGCAGCGTCTCCAGCGTCTCTGTACGTGGCCCCTCCCACCAGAGCAGCACAAATGAAGACTTGTCTCTTTCCAAACGCTCTTAAAGGACGATTGTTTTGACTGTTGACCGTGACACCCTCATCAGCAAAATGTCAAAAATGAGAAAAGTGGAGCCGAGTGCAGGATTTTCCAAGACAAATTGACTTATTCCTATTTACATACAAGTTAATGTTAAAAAACTGTGTTTGAAATTGCATTTTTCTTAAGTTTCAGGTTGTTCATAATATTATAATATTTTGTAAAAGAAAGAGTTCATCAATTAAAAAAGATTTCTGTAACAGATTTGTGTTTCTCTGCACAAATATTTGAACTTATTGTTATTTTTGGGGTTCATATGTCATGAGTTTTCTGATCCGGCCCCTTTGGGATCTACAGCATTAATATGTGGAGTTCCAAATCTTGAATTTTGATTTTAGAAAAGTTATCATCCACATAACGATACCAAAGTATGGGTGGAGTTCCTGGATAAGAGGCCAAGGCCCTCTGTTCAAATTGTTCCATACATAAGTTAACAATGACAGGAGAGACCGGTGAGCCCATCGCACAGCTGTGGATTTGTCTGTAGAAGTTCCCTCTGAACTGAAAGTAGGTGGTATTTAAACAGATTTCCAGCAGTTGGCAGATTTGATCCGGTGACAGTTTAGTTCTCTCTTCTAGTTTGGTATCCTGCAGTCTCTTCCTTGCTGCTTCCACCGCTACTGATGTAGGGATACACGTGAAAAGAGACGTCACATCAAAGGAAACCATTGTCTCGTCCGGGTCAAACTGGAGACGTTTGATTTTGTTCACAAATTCGGCTGTGTTCTCAGTATGGTGCTCCGTTTTACCCACCAAAGGGGACAAAATGCTCTTCAGGTGTTTGGCCACATTGTATGTGATGGAGTCTGTGCTATAAACAATGGGTCTGAGAGGTACACCCTGTTTGTGAATCTTAGGCAGGCTGTAGATAAACGTAGATCCCTACAGGCAGATCACTACAGGCAAATCCACAGCTGTGTGGATTCTACCTTGACGACTGAGGGATTCTTCACACCTTGCCTCCTTTTGTCATTAAAAAATATTTTGTCAACTACCCCCTGACCTGGTTTGAGCAGAGTTTTCCGAGGAGCCACTTTGAGATTGCTGTATCTGAAACTATTTAAGGTCAGTCCTTTAAATTTTCAAGGGTTAAAATTTGACAAATGTACTTGTAGAATATGGACTTTTACACATGTGCTTTTGATTTATCACAGATTTCTGGGGGCTTGAATTTGCTTGAAAATTTTACTCTTCAAATATGAGGGCATCTTTGAAGGACTGTGGAAAGTGCAATGTTAAAGACAGAGGTTTGATATTGAACATACACCTTCCCACACGTGCTGTGTACTTTGTATTTTAAAACTGAGCCTCTGTGATGAACACTCTACAAGACATTAAGTGTTATAAATGGAAAAAATTAATTTGGTGCCATCTTTACCATGTTATACCAAAAAAATGAAGCACCTATCAACATAAAAATTTACCATTTTAGAAAGACTAGATGTCTGTCTTCAACATATCCAAAATTTGTGATGGTGGTCTGCCTTATTTCTGCAGAATTCTTGAAAATGTGGTGTTCGCATTAATGTACGTCATTCATGGACTATAAAGGCACTTTCAGAAGATAAGAAAACACCCTGATTTCATGACACATAACTTAAACTCAATAAAATATTCCATTTAATTCTTAATAAACTATACTTGATGTATAACTTATATGTAGTCTTTAAATATAGAAATAGAAATGTGTCTCTTACAATCCTGTGCAAAGATGCAACAAAAAAGGGAGGGGAGGGGTAGTATACTTTTATTAACTATATAACTAAAAAATCATACACAATGTGGTGGGTTAAAGTCATCAGTAATGTGTGCATGTTGTTTGACGTG